AAAAACAGATGAAAAAACTGATGTAAATGGATGAAAAATGGATGTAAACAGATGAAAAAAGTTGAAAAAAAACGGATGTAAACAGATGAAAAATGGATGTAAACGGATGAAAAATGGTAAACAGATGAAAAAAATGGATGTAAACCAATGTAAACGGATGAAAAATGGATGTAAACCAATGTAGATGGATGAAAAATGGATGTAAAAAGATGAAAAATGGATGAAAATGGATGAAAAACAGATGTAAACCAATGTAAACGGATGAAAAACCGGATGTAAATGGTTGAAAAAAGCCAAAAAAACAGATGTAAACAGATGAATAATGGATGTTAACCAATGAAAAATGGATGTAAACCAATGTAAACGGAAGAAAAATGGATTAAACGGATTAAAATACTGATGAAGAAACAGATGTAAATGGATGTAAAAATGGATGTAAAACCAATGTAAATGGCTGAAAAATGGATGCAAAAACGGATGTAAATGGATGAAAAAAGCCCAAAAAAACAGATGTAAATGGATGAAAAATGTATGTAAACGGATGAAAAAAACGGATGAAAAAAAACGGATGAAAAAACGGATGTAAATGGTTGAAAAATGGATGTAAAGGGATGAAGAAAGCTGAAAAAACAGATGAAAACGGATGAAAAATAGATGTAAACCAATGTAAACGGATGAAAAATGGATTAAACGGATGATGAAAAAAACTGATAAAAAAAACAGATGTAAACAGATGAAAAAATGGATGTAAACCTATGTAAAGGGATGAAAAAACATACGTAAACTCATCCGTTTCTTTGGAAAAACACGATTGAACTAAAGAAGAAAAATCGGAACGCCCGTGTGAAAGGACCCTTACTGTAATGTCTGCCTTCGTTTTGTAAAGCGCTGCACAAACTGTTGGCGCTATATAAATCCTGTATAATAATAAAAATAATAATAACATAGAAGTCTGAGAAAATCAGCGAGCAGTTATGTTACCAATACAGTGGCGCCTATCCAATGCAAAAAAAAACCAGATCAGTGAAAACAAAATAAATGCAGATTCCAAATTATGCAGCTGCCCCTTATGTGTGAAACACCAGAGATACAACATGCTGAATAAAGATAGGCGCATGCTAAATGCTCTCCACATGGTGCGGTGTACTGCTCCCCTCCCCCACCAGCATCAATCAGCTCTGAAACACATGGGAATTCAGGTGCAGCAGTCTCCTTACAATCAATGGCCATCTTGCAGCATTCCTAGAGGCACTACTGGTCTCAGCAAAGGCAGGAGCAGTAAAATCCATGTCCGAGGTGTTCGGTGCAGATTATTCCATATTCCTCAGGTGGTCTGGAGACATCTCTGTCGGGTAGTAGGTCGTCAGGCAGTATTTCATTGGACTTACTATTTCTATGCAGACCTTTGATATGAGTATAGTTAAAGAATTCTTGCAAGTTATTTTTTTAATACAACGGGCTCAGGGGTGGACTGACAACTCATGGGGCCCCCGGGCAATAGGGGATCATGGGGCCCCTGTGTCCTTGCCCAAACTCAAAAAAGCCTATGAAAATGGTACCAGGGGCATCTCATGGGGCCCCCTACTGACACTTCAGGGGCGGACTGACAACTCATGGGGCCCCCGGGCAATAGGGGTCATGGGGCCCCTGTGTCCTTGCCCAAGCTCCCTATGAAAATGGAACCAGGGGCTTTATGGGGCCCCCTACTGACCGGATTAGTGAACACCATCAGGGGCGGACTGACAACTCATGGGGCCCCCAGGCAATAGGGGATCATCTGTGTCCTTGCCCAAATTCAAAAAAGCCTATGAAAAAGGTAGCAGGGGCATCTCATGGGGCCCCTACTGACCCGGGCCCTCGGGCAGTGCCTGGGTTTCCAAACGGTCAGTCCGCCCCTGAATGGAACCCTTTATTAACCCTGATCAGCCCTAATTAACATCTTAATCCCTTTCTCTTATAAACTATCTTTTTTTGCTGATTTTTTTTTTTTTTTGTATTCCTATTTTTACCAATAATATTTGTTTTTTTTGCTTCTTTTTTACAGTGTTTGCATTACACATCAGCAGTTAAAATGCATCTATTCTAAATAGGACACCTGCAGATAGTCTGCAAGTGTCATTACGGAAATACCCAAAGTAGTATTTCATTGTACTTACTATTTCTGTGCACACCTTTGATCTGCATATTACAATAGTTAGGCTACGTTCACACCAGCCTTGTTAGCAAGCGGCAGACAGGCGTTTGTGAAATGTTTTTTTTTACCATTTTTCAAACGACTCAGAAAATTCTGCACATTGCAGCACATAGTGCTGTTCAAACTGGAGCATTAGGGTCGCGTCGCGGCAAAACGGATGCCTCTGGTTGAGTCAGGAGGATTTGTTGCCTCCTATTCAAGTCTATGGTGCCGCTCCGCAAACGCCCGGCCGGCGATTGCGAGGCATTTGTGGAGCGTTAACACCGTTCAAACTTTATTATAGGCGTTTGTGGGGCGTTTTTAAACGCTTGGCAAACGCCTAGCAACCGCTGCTAAACCGCGCATGCAGCATTTTTGGAGCGCTTGCGGAGCATTAAAAACGCTCTGCAAACGCTGGACCAACGCTTGTCAAACGCTGTAGGGGCGTTTGGCAAGAGTTGGGAAAAAAAAGTCAAGTGTGAATTATAGAATTCTTGCAGGATATTTTTTTTACATAATGGAACCCTTTATTAACTCTGATCAGCCCTAATTAACATCTTAATCCCTTTCTCCAATAAAATTATCTTTTTTTTTTTTGATTTTTTTTTTTTTTTTTTTTTTTTTTATTCCTATTTTTACCAATAATATTTGTTTTTGTTTTCATTAGTTTTCTTTGCTACTTTTTTTCCAGTGTTGCACAAAAAAAAAAATGTTCAAAGTTTTTAAAAACAAACTCTTTTCATTTGCAAATAACTTTAGACGTGTTTTGTACCAGAAAACAACATTTTTAGTTTTATTTTAAAACAGGACTAATTATGGAATAAAATGTTTACCTTTTATTTACAGCAAAACAACTTAACAAAAAAAAAAATAAAAAAAATAACAATGATAAAATATTTTCTATAGGTTCCATAGGAAATAAAATATGTTTTGTAAAACAATATTGCAAAAAAGCCTAGCCCCCCCCCCCCCCAAAAAAAAAATAGTTGTATATATTCTTTTGTTATCCTAAGTAATAAAGAGTTTATTACCAAATAAACAGACATTTAAAAATTGCTGATCCATTAGGGATATACAGGTACAGGTGCTGAAGTGGTTACAAAGAATTGCCCAGAATTGGGTTTCAGTGCCTTTTATATCAGCAGGCCGGGTTGTTCATTCCATTCCTGACTGTTGAACTGCTTCTTCCAGTCCTTTAGCATGGATCACTGTCCCTTCCCATTGCTCCCAATAGAGTGGGATAATTCCAATTGAAAGCAGCAAGAAGATATGTAGCCCGGCCACAGTAAAATGTATTGTAATACAACATATATGGATACTTAGGGGTGTATTCCCATAGATGTTCGTCCATCGAACGTTTATGTAAATGTGTTCTGTGCGAATGGGGCAACATTGAATGTTCTCTTTCTATTCTTTGCAGATCAAGAATGAGTAAATGGGGATTAAGAAGATGGAGAAGGGAGTACCGAGAGTAATCTAGAAATGAAGAGGAACAGTGAGCTAGAGAGAAGAGAACATCAAGGTAGATGGTGGGTGGGTAAGGGGTTAGGGGGGGGGGGGGGGGTTGAGAAGGGAATTGCTTAAATAACATTGTTCTTTGTGTATATGAATAATATGATTATTTATTTTAGTTATTTATTTATTTCAGGTACTTATATAGCGCCGTCAATTTACACAGCACTTTACATATATATTGTACATTCACATCAGTCCCTCACCCTCAAAGGGTGTACAATCTAAGGTCCCTAACTCACATTCATACATACACATACTAGGGACAATTTAGGCAGAAGGCAATTCACCTACCAGCATGTTTTTGGAGTGTGGAAGGAAACTGAAGTACCCAGAGGAAAAACCCACTCAGGCACAGGGAGAACATGCAAACTCCAGGCAGTTAGTGCCGTGGTTGGGAATCGAACCAGCAACCCTAGTACTGCCAGGCAGAAGTGTTAACCACTTAGCCACTGTGCTGCCCAATGATGCTAAGTTGAAATATTGAAAATGAATTAAATATTTATAAAATATTGGCAGCACAGTGGCTAAATGGTTAGCACTCCCACCTGGCAGTACTCGGGTCGTTGGTTCGAATCCCAAACACGGCACCATCTGCCTGGAGTTTGAATGTTTCTCCCTGTGCCTGTGTGGGTTTCCTCCGGGTACTCCGGTTTCCTTCCATACTCCAAAGACATGCAGGTAGGTTAATTGGCTCCTGTCTAAATTGTCCCTAGTATGTGTATGTATGAATGTGAGTTAGGGACCTTAGATTGTACACCCCTTGAGGGTTAGGGACTGATGTGAATGTACAATATATATGTAAAGTGCTGTGTAAATTGACAGCGCTATATAAGTACCTGAAATAAATAAGAAAAAGAATGTGTAAATGGAGTCAATTTAGCATTACAGCCACTAGATGGCACTGCTTGTCATAGGTAAAAGTATACTCCTCTGCTCCATCTAGTGGTTATAATGTGGTATTTTCCAAATTCACACTTTCAATCTGAAGAGGAATATAGACTGAAAGCATTTAATTTTGCCCCATTTGCAAAATTTTGTTATGGACAAACAGCAATGCAATTTTTTTTTTAAATAAGTACACCCTTTAGTGTATTTTGTATTCTTTTTAACAACACTTAATCAACATGCAAAAACTACTAGAGGTAAGCTACAGGAATAATTTCACTATGGCAGTTTTTTTTAGTTCAGTAGCTAAAGGAGAACTCCCTGGCTGTCCTTTACAAATGAGCAGGTCAGGGTTTTAGGTTCATGACATGCAGATTCCGATTTCTTGTTGCAAAGAGACCTAAGGCGCTGTGTTCTGCCTTGTCTGCTAAGCGCAGTCCATCCGTTCCTCAAATGCTTTCAGGAAATTCAGCAGATCATTTGTGCTGCGCAGAGAGGAGGACAGCGAGTCGGAGATTTGTAGGTTGATCTCGTTGCTGCGCAGTGATGAGGCTCCGGCGGTGTAACTCAGCTCATGAAGAATCTGCATTGATATCGGTGTGACCTAGAAAAAACAACCAGCGTTTAAATATACATTTGTAATCTGTGCTTTAATAATTCCGCCAGTTCACACCATACTGAGCATGTTTTTGACAGCCCGCTAATTTCAATGGGTTGCTAAATGCACGGGAACGTTTAAAAGAAAAAAAAAAAAAAAAAAAAAGCAGGTGCAACTGTTAAAATTGCGCCGCATGATACTGCGGTACTTTGCGTTTTGGTGACCCGTGAATGCGTCTGAGCTTGCGAGATGCCTTGGGGCGGCATTGGCAAATAATGCCATCTGCAGCTGGAATGTGTTGTGGGAAACAGGCACAGAAATGTGTTTCTCGCACTGCCAGTGGTGTAAACGGGTTTCCACTGGTCTTACTTAAAGCGGAGTCCCACCCAAAAGGGGAATTTCCGCTTTAAAGACTGATCCCCAGCTCCCCATTAAGGATTGGCACCTTTGGGGAGCGGGTACCCCGAAATTGACAGGTACCCACCCCCACTTCCGCTGCGATCGCCTAGGTGATTTGAAGCGGAAGTTGCCCTCCCTTGTTCCCCGTAGTCTTGTGGGACACGTGACAGGTCCCAGAAGACGACGGGGCCATTCAGGAAGCGCAGCACTACTCGCGCATGCGCAGTGGGCAAGCTGTCACAGCCGGGTCCCCACACTGAAGATGTCGGCGCCTGGAATACAGGACGGCCGGTGAAACGGGCTGCGGCGGGGGACAGGTGAGTGGCTGTTTTTTAAACCCCATGGACCCGGCGCCTCCCAGCCCTTTTTTAGGGTTTCAGAAGCCTATTAAATGGGAAAGATTCCCACACCGGTTATATATTTTCCAGATTTTGGAGAAAAGAAAACTGAGAGTGAACGCTGTCTTTGCTGCCCCTGGAATGACAGCTGTCACTCAAGCAGTTTTTCCTCCAAAATCTGGAAAATATATAACCGGCGTGGGAATCTTTCCCATTTAATAGCGTGCAGCAACAGCCCTGAAGAAGGGAGCGTCTGTTCCCCGAAACGCGTTGGTTTGCTGAGCTTGTCATTCTCAGTAAATGCCTTTTAACCCCTTCACGCTTAAAATCTAAACGCCTAAGCACAATTTTGCAACGTTGACTTGTGTTAGTAAAACCGTACATATCAACGCAACTACTTTGTACATCCAGGTGAATTATATCACGTTTTTTTTTTTTTTCAGGATACATTAGGCTTTCATTTGGTGGTAATGGATATCTCCTGATTTTTTTTTTTTTTTTTTTGTTTTATTATTATCAAAGGAAAACTGGCCCACAATAGTAAAAAAAAAAATCATTTTTATTAATTTAGCTGTGCGTTTCTTGTTACTATCATAATCTACCACCAAAGAACAACCCAAAATAAATTCTCCAGCTCTTGATGATTGCAGCGACACCATATATGTGTATGCTATTTGTTGTTTGTACCTGAAGTACAGCCCAGAAACAATAGTGCGCATTTTTTTTTTTTTTATACCTAAAACACATTGACACTGATGCCAATTAAAAAAAAAACCCTGACCTTGACCTTGACCCAAACATTTACCCTGGCACTGAACTAGATCAAACCTTGATACATTTTTTTTATATATATATATATATATTTATATATTTGGTATTCACTCAATATTTTATATAATTTTATTCATTCAGCATTGGGGACTTATTAATATTTTACATTATTTGATTTCACATTTCCCGATAGACTAGTCACATTCGTTATTCGTTTTTTTTTCTTCAGCACATCCACAGCTGATTACTTTTGAGAGATTTTATTGCACCTTATAATTATTTTAAACCAAAATATGAATTTACACATTATTTATATTAGTTATTTTATTCTAAGGGGCGCGGCACTTTTAATATTTTTTATCCTGGTTACTACACTGCACACTAATATGAGGTTGTGATCAAGTGCCAGCGAACCACATCAGATACAAACACTATTTTGTGGCTCACAAGTATTTATAATCTTACTGAAACCTTGATCTAGGTATCTTTTTCTTTTATTTTTTTAATATTTATTTCTGTTAACATTTTTTTTCTCTATGCCAGGTGTTAGGGAGATACAATGTATCTCTCTCCTCCATTCATAGAGGAAAAAAAAATAAACCGGGGGGTTGGCTAAACAGTGACTGATGTATATTATATAGGGCGCTCTTGTTGGAGCCCAACGTCTGTAGCTGTAAGATAAAGGTCTGAAGAAGGAGCCTATTGAGCATGCTCCGAAATGCATTACCGCCCCCTTCACCTGTTACATCTGACTCTGCTCTCCAAGCTTCATTTTTGATGCACAGGCACATCCTGGTCTCTACTTCCTGATCCTATAGGCATAGCTTGCTGCTGGATGTCCCACCTGGATCCAATTACCACACGATGATTCTTTTTAACCGTTTATCTTGTAAGTGGAAATTTTCCATTGTCTACTAGTAAATTGTTAATACTGCACTTAGAGGCGCCTTCCTCTCTTTTTCCTAAACCGTGACTGATCACTGTGATAGCCAATCAGAGGCTATCACAGCGATCATGTGACCCAGAATAGGGAGTCCCGGGTCCCGATTGTTAGAACAGGACTCGGGGCTCTCATTCACACTGCGGTCTTTGTGCTGGGAGTGCTCTGTGTGGTGCGCTCCCAGCACAAAGACAGGTACGCAAATATGCGGCCCAGTTCTATGAGACCGCATTTTTGTGTGATGTCGGCACAAAGGGGTTGATCTACCATCAAAAGTGCATTCTTTTGGACAACAGGCGCTCTTTCTTTCCTATTGTTCCAAGAAATTCTCCCAATCCTCCTCCTATAATTATGAGATTGCCCTTAGAGGGCCAAACTGACCCTTGAAAACGCTCAGCGGATTTCAGAAATCAATACCAGAGGACGTATTCAGGGCGATTTTCCCAGTTCCCCTTCTATAACCAGTATTGGTCTATTAGGATGTTGGTTAGGCTTTCCTCTGGATGAACAGATCTCTGGTTTTTACCGGCACCCATTGCCCCCAGAAGGATGATTTCAGCTCACTTCAAGCCCTGGTGACCACATAGGAGGTGAAGTGTAATCTTTCAAATGGGGTCAGTGTTTTGTCTGGCTCTCCAGTAGGGAAAAAAAAAGGGGGGCTATACTGGAACCTTTATTTGATACTTTTGTATCTGACGCTTTTTTACTAGAATATTCTTCAACTTAAATAAATACATATTTCACCAAAAAAAAAAAAATGGCACAGGATTAAGACTTCGGTCACACCAAATATGACTTTTGAAATCGTGCGATTTCACTTGATTTGGCATGATTTCAAAGTCGGATGACAGACCGAATTCAGTTGCGACTTGGAAGACAACTGTGCAACTTCACGTACAGATATCTATGCAAGTCGCACCTGAACTTGAAAAAGGAGTGCATGAAGTGCTTTCAAAATCGGTGCGGAGTCGGAATCGCACCGATATAACAGCTTACATTGCGGACAACATGGTGTGACTTATCGTGCGATTTGAAATGATCAAATCGCATGATAAGTTGTAACTGGGCACTAATGGATATTTCAAAAGCAGCTTCAGCACTGATACAGATGTCTGGTGACTTGCAGATCACAGCGCATTGACTTACTTGCACCATAATTAACTTCTTCTTCCACGGTCTGTCATCAGGCCACATTTCTCCTAGACAAATCCAGATGTGATATTGCGGAGATTCATGCCTCTTGTGATCTATGAACTCCATCAGCTCTGAAGGGAAGAGAAGACAAGATTAGAGCAAATTATAGCAATGTGGCATGTTATATATGTCACCATTAAAGTGCTAATAAACCCTGGACCCTGCACTCACTATATCTGGTCTCCCCGGACCCTGCACTCACTATATCTGGTCTCCCGGACCCTGCATTCACTATATCCGGTCTCCCCGGACCCTGCATTCACTATATCTGATCTCCCCGGACCCTGCATTCACTATATCCGGTCTCCCCGGACCCTGCATTCACTATGTCTGGTCTCCCCAGACCCTGCATTCACTATATCCGGTCTCCCCGGACCCTGCATTCACTATATCCGCTCTCCCCGGACCCTGCATTCACTGTATCCGGTCTCCCCGGACCCTGCATTCACTGTATCCGGTCTCCCCGGACCCTGCATTCACTGTATCCCCTCTCCCCGGACCCTGCATTCACTGTATCCGGTCTCCCCGGACCCTGCATTCACTGTATCCCCTCTCCCCGGACCCTGCATTCACTGTATCCGGTCTCCCCGGACCCTGCATTCACTGTATCCGGTCTCCCCGGACCCTGCATTCACTGTATCCGGTCTCCCTGGACCCTGCATTCACTGTATCCCCTCTCCCCGGACCCTGCATTCACTGTATCCGGTCTCCCCGGACCCTGCATTCACTGTATCCCCTCTCCCCGGACCCTGCATTCACTGTATCCGGTCTCCCCGGACCCTGCATTCACTGTATCCCCTCTCCCCGGACCCTGCATTCACTGTATCCCCTCTCCCCGGACCCTGCATTCACTGTATCCGGTCTCCCCGGACCCTGCATTCACTGTATCCCCTCTCCCCGGACCCTGCATTCACTGTATCCCCTCTCCCCGGACCCTGCATTCACTGTATCCCCTCTCCCCGGACCCTGCATTCACTATATCCGCTCTCCCCGGTCCCTGCATTCACTATATCCGCTCTCCCCGGTCCCTGCATTCACTATATCCGCTCTCCCCGGTCCCTGCATTCACTATATCCGCTCTCCCCGGACCCTGCATTCACTATATCCGCTCTCCCCGGACCCTGCATTCACTATATCCGCTCTCCCCGGACCCCGCATTCACTATATCCGCTCTTCCCGGACCCTGCATTCACTATATCCGCTCTTCCCGGACCCTGCATTCACTATATCCGCTCTCCCCGGACCCTGCATTCACTATATCCGCTCTCCCCGGACCCTGCATTCACTATATCCGCTCTCCCCGGACCCTGCATTCACTGTATCCGGTCTCCCGGACCCTGCATTCACTATATCCGGTCTCCCCGGACCCTGCATTCACTATATCCGCTCTCCCCGGACCCTGCATTCACTATATCCGCTCTCCCCGGACCCTGCCGCCATGGCCACCCACAGGTCAAATTTTACTGGCTCATCAGGAATCGGGTGCAATTCCAGTCATGTATGGGCAATACTATAGAGTAACTGATTAGCCATGTTGAGTTTTCCTGGCTAGTAGTCAATTACCTGGAGATAAGGTCAACACTGGGTTTTGTGTGGGGGAGAAATCGAATCCTGGGCCTGGGGGGCAAACTGTATGACCAAATGACAGGTCCTTTCATGGTAAGAACAGATTTCTGTGGGTTAGAAAAAGTTTCTACCACCCAAAGAGTGCCGTGATGCAGCACCATGGCAAACGTTGGGCAGTATACAGTCTAACCCACAGAAATTTGTTCCTACCAAGAAAGGGCCGGTCATTTGGTTATACAGTTTGCCCCCCCCCCCAGGCAGTATTCTATCCGTTGGTGGGTATGGTAAAAGACTTGGTTTATTATAATGCTTTTCACATGTTCCAGTAACTGCTTTCTTTGCAGTTCTCACCATTCGTCACATGACATCGCAGAGTCGCAAAGTAAAGTGCTGGAAGACTTGCCTCTGCTACGCTGTGATTGAAGGTCTGAACAGGAACCAGGCAGCTATAATAGCCAATGTACATCACTGACTGTTGACTCCACTCTCACCAATGTCTGAATGGGGAAGTGTTTCCACTCAGGGCCACCAGCCCAACATATCCTCTTAGTACCAGGCTAGGGGTAACTGCCCTCCAGCCCAGTCCACCCCTGGTTTGTATTTACAGTGCATAAGCTTAGCTGAATTGATGATTTAGTATTGCCTTTTCAACAGCCAGTCTATATTTGTTAGAGGCTTTAGTGCCTTTTTTTTCCCCTACAATGACCTAACAAACACCAATGTATTAGACCAATATGCTCCAAACTGAAGCCCTTGAGCCTGATGCGGTCCCGTGCTCGCCCTTAATCTGGCCCTTGGGGCACTATTCCTGGACTATCAACAGTGGTGCACTATTACTTCCACTTCACCAACAATAGGTAACTATTCCCTCCATTTCACCAATGATGGGGAACTATTCCTTCCACTTTACCAATAATGGGGCACTATTCCTCCCACTGACACCAATAATGGGGCACTATTCCTCCCACTGACACCAATGATGGGGCACTATTCCTCCCACTGACACCAATGATGGGACACTATTCCTCCCACTGATACCAATGATGGGGCACTATTCCTCCCACTAATACCAATGATGGGGCACTATTCCTCCCACTGACGCCAATGATGGGCACTATTCCTTCCACTGATACCAATGATGGGGCACTATTCCTCCCACTGATACCAATGATGGGGTACTATTCCTTCCACTGATACCAATGATGGGGCACTATTCCTTCCACTGATACCAATGATGGGGCACTATTCCTCCACTGATACCAATGATGGGGCACTATTCCTCCCACTGATACCAATGATGGGGCACTATTCCTCCACTGATACCAATGATGGGGCACTATTCCTTCCACTGATACCAATGATGGGGCACTATTCCTCTCACAGATACCAATGATGGGGCACTATTCCTCCACTGATACCAATGATGGGGCACTATTCCTCTCACTGATACCAATGATGGGGCACTATTCCTCCCGTTAACATCAATGATGAGGAACTATTCCTTCCACTGGGGCACTATTCCTCCCACCAATGATGGGGCACTATTCCTCCCACTGATACCAATGAAGGGGCACTATTCCTCCCACTGATACCAATGATGGGGCACTATATCTCCCATTGACACCAATGATGGGGCACTATTCCTCCCACTGATACCAATGATGGGGCACTATATATCCCGCTGATATTAATGATGGGGCACTATTCCTCCCACCTCACCAATGATGGGGCACTATTCCTCCCACCTCACCAATGATGGGACACTATTCCTCCCACTAATACCAATGACGGAACTATTCCTCCCACTGACACCAATGATGGGACACTGTTCCTCCCACTGACACCAATGATGGAGCACTATTACTCCTCCTCCTACTGACCACGGGCTATATGTACAGTACTTCTTTTCCTCCCACTGACCACCAAACCTGAGGCACCGTCTGCTCTCACTGATGCTGGGGCATTTTCTACTCCCACTGGCCAGTCTGGCCCTCCTAAATCCTAAAAGACAGTAAACTGACCCTTTTGTTTAGAAAGTTTGGAGACCCCAGTTTTAGACCAACAAGATGTATGAGAAATGTTCCATCATGTACCTTTCACAAACTGCTGACATTTGTACAGCTCGGTGTAGGCCTCTTTGTTTATTGGACTGGGCTGGGCCATTGTTGGCGTCTCTGTCATACTCCAAAAACTCCTGCATTTGCCTTGCCTCTTGGCACAGATGACTCCATTGTGTACTTCCACCAGAGTTCCTTGTTCCAGGTTTTGTAGAAGTTTATTGATCTCAGCAGCTACTCTCAAGTCGGAGATTAAGGATGTTGGTGGAAGAATCACATCCTCTAAATAGTGTTCTCTGTTTGTTTTTTGCCTCGAAGTGAGATGAAAGCCAAGGGGGTTTTTTTACCAAACTACTCTTCACCAGAATGCCCCGGTAATAAATCTTTACTTCAAACTGCGTTTCTGCAGGGAAAGTAAACATGGTTATTTAATTATTTATTACAGGTACTTATACAGCACCATCAATTTACATAAATATATATATATATTGTACATTCACATCAGTCCGTTGTCCTCAAGGATCTTACAATCTAAGGTCCCTAATGTACGTTCATACATACACATGCTAGGAACAATTTAGAAAGGTGCCGATTAACTTGCCAGCATGTCTTTGGAGTGTGGAAGGAAACTGGAGTACCTGGAGGAAACCCACGCAGGCACAGGGAGAACATACAAACTCCAGGCAGGTGGTGCCGTGGTTGGGATATAAACCAATGACCCTAGTACTGCCAGGTGGAAGTGCTAACCATTTAGCCACCATGCTGGCCATTACTCTTGCCCATATCTCCACCATATCTCACAGTCCTTCAATGACTGCACAGGCTGTTCACATTCGTTTCTGCTCCGTCCAATAAGATTTAAAGTTTTATTAAACCCTCAATTTTTAAGCACTTTTATCAGCTGACTGAATCACTTACTGAGTATGCAGCTTCTTTATCTTTTGTCTATGTTTCAGTTTAACCACTTCCAGACCGGACAATTTCACCCCCTTCCTGTCCAGGGCAATTTTCAGCTTTCAGCGCTATCACACTTTGAATGACAATTGCGCGGTCATGCAAATACTTTACCCATATGAATTTTTTACCATTTTTTTGAGACAGATAATGCTTTATTTTGGTGGTATTTATTCAGCGCTGGGATTTTTATTTTGTTTGCTATGTAAATGAAAATGTCCAAAAAAATTTTTAAAGTGTTTTTTCTTATAAAATTTTGCAAATAAATAATCTTTCATAATAAATCTTGACCAAAATTTATTCCGTTATATTTTTAGTAAAAAAAAAAAAGCCAAATTAGTTTTATAACCAAAAATTATAATTTTTTAAACATTTTTTTTACATTTTTATTTTATTTTTTTATATTATGATTTATGGTTTTTTTTTTTTTTTTTTTACATACTGTCACCCTAGCAGTACAGTGTCACCATGGTGACACTGTACTACTTGTGGGGGTGATGATGTTTATTTTTTTTTTACACTGATTGCTTTTACACCCATATAGGATGTAAAAGCAATAATTTCTCTTTCTCTCTGTCTGCATTCTTGCAGCCATTGAGAAATACTGAGTGAGGTGTAATTGGTCACACCATGTCACATGGTACAAGGCTGTTGTGAATAGCCTTGTACCATGTGACCTCTGTGATCATTCACAGATTTCCACACGTAGTAAGTAATGATGTCACAAGTGACATCTTGCTTACTACTTTGCATGTGATCACTGATTGGCCAATCAGTTATCACATGATCGGGACCTCGTACAGAGGTCCCGTCCGACGATCGGTGTTTCACTGTGTCCGTAGGACACAGCGGGCACTGGATCGCGGTGCTGCGCGCTCACAAGGAGCACGCACAGATAGAAAAGGCGGGTGCTGTTTATGAATGGCAACCCGCCCCTGGCACTGCCACCCCGCCCTGCCGTTTATAAACAGTAGGTGGATGGCAAGAGGTTAAGCTGATGCCATGACCACTGCCCCAGGTTTCCTATTTCAGGGTGGCCCCCTTTTCTTCAACATCCTATGGAGTCACCCTTACATGCAGAGCTGTGTCTCCCTACGCTGTGTGCATCAGTAGAAACACACAACCCATAGCCAAGGATGGCAAAAGCACTCCCCTGCTCCTCTCTATTCCTCCTGCTTCTTTCTCTAAGCTAACAGAGTGACTGGAGACTGCACTGTCCACGGTTAGCTCTTTCCTTTGGAGATCGGACGTTCGGGTTCTGGGAAGCCGGACTAAGAGAGCCAGAGCCAGCAGCATTGAAAGTTGTGAACTGTAAGTGCTGGGATAAGAATTTTAACAAATAGTTTACCATTTATTTTATTGTGTCCAATGTGTTAAGCTAACAAAAATAGAGGGTTTAATACTACTTTGGCCGCATGTTTATTAGGTTTTTAAGTGGGCAGCAACTGAAAAACTAAAGATTTGCTCTTCTATAGGGGATATCTAGTGTATATATAGGCAATGCCCAGAAACATCTACCTTACTGCCTGGGTTTCATCCTAAAAAATAGCGGTGCACTTCCTGGTGTGTGAGGGTGCCTAAGCACTCCTGTGCCTACAGCCCCATAGCTGTGTATCTGCTGTGTGAGATCATCTAAGGCACTGCTCCTCTGGCTGCTAGTCTCACGAGATTTAGAGTGAGATTTGGTGATGTCATTTCTGTGCTGCTTACGGTTTTCCTTGACGGAGAGAATGCTGAAATGTAATGCTCTTCATTCTTCTTCTTCCAGTCTGCACTTCCTGCATTCCCCTACTGGTAATCAGATCACTAGTCATAAGGTGCAGCAATGACATGTATTTGTATTGCTTCCTTTGTGTGGAATCCCTGGTGTTCCAGCCAGTCCCCCTGCTTTCCTATTTCAAACTGACCACGCTAGGCATAGAAGCACATTCATCCCAGTGTGGTCAGTTTTCTGGCTGTGCTGGGAGAACAGCCTGCCTGCCCTCCCATGGCCAAGACTTATGCTGGACACACCGCCCTGCACAACCATTCATTGGGAAGATCGGTATTATGCTATTTCTCCATCCCCACCTCTCCAAGCCTCTTCTGCAAATGACAACAGAGGGTCATGTGCAGGGGCGGACTGACCATTTAGGTACTCGGGCACTGCCCGAGGGCCCGGGTCAATAGGGGGCCCCATGAGATGCCCCTAGTACCTTTCATAGGCTTTTTTGGGTGTGGTTTGATTGTGGGTGAGGACACAGGGGCCCCCATGACCCCCTAATGCCTGGGGGACCCATGAGATGCCCCTGGTACCTTTCATAGGCTTTTTTTTGGGTGTGGTTTGAGTGTGGGTGAGCACACAGGGGCCCCATGATCCCCCTATTGCCCGGGGGCCCCATGAGTTGTCAGTCCGTCCCTGGTCATGTGATAGGTATCCATCCCAGTGGGGTCCGTTTTCTAGATGCTCTGGGAGAACAGTCTGTCCTCCAAGGGTCAAAAGTTGTGCTGACTCAACGCCATTCACTGGGAAGATTGGTATTCTGCTATTTCTCCATCCCCACCTCTCCAAGCCTCTTCTGCAAATGACAACAGAGGTCATGTGATAGATATCCATCCCAGTGGGGTCAGTTTTCTGGATGCTCCGGGAGAACAGTCTGTCCTGCAAGGGCCAAAACTTGTGCTGACTCAACGCCATTCACTGGGAAGATTGGTATTCTGCTATTTCTCCATCCCTGCCTCTCTTGCAAATGACAACAGAGGTCAGGTGACCGGTATCCATCCCAGTGATGTCAGTTTTTCTGGATGCTCTGGGAGAACAGTCTGTCCTCCAAGGGTCAAAAGTTGTGCTGACTCACCGCCATTCACTGGGAAGATTGGTATTCTGCTATTTCTCCATCCCCACCTCTTCAAGCCTCTTCTGAAAATGACAACAGAGGTCATGTGATAAGTATCTATCCCAGTGGGGTCAGTTTTCTGGATGCACTGGGAGAACAGTCTGTCTGTCCTTCAAGGGCCAAAACTTGTGCTGACACACTGCCATGCACAGCCATTCACTGGGAAGATCGGTATTCTGCTGTTTCTCCATCCCCCACCTCTCCAAGCCTCTTATGTAAATGAGCACAGAGGTCATGTGATAGGTATCTATCCCAGTGGGGGGTCAGTTTTCTGGATGTGCTGCACAGCCAGAACAGTCTGTCCTTCAAGGGGCAAAACTTGTGCTGACACACCGCCATGCATGCACAGCCATTCACTGGGAAGATCGGTATTCTGCTGTTTCTCCATCCCCACCTCTCCAAGCCTCTTATGCATATGAGAACAGAGGTCATGTGATGGGTATGCATCCCAGTGTGGTCAAACTCAAAGGGTTGTTTTACAAGGCCAAGGTCTTGTTCACACGAGCTGGTTGGATGCGTGCCCCAAGCAGGGGCGGACTGACAACTCATGGGGCCTCCGGGCAATAGGGGATCATGGGGCCCCTGTGTCCTTGACCAAACTCAAAAAAGCCTATGAAAAAGGTACCAGGGGCATCTCATGGGGCCCCCTACTGACCCCGGGCCCTCGGGCAGTGCCCGAGTTTCCAAATGGTCAGTCCGCCCCTGGTCCCAAGCAGAGCTGTGTGGCATAGGGATACACAGGTGTTGCATGCATCCCCATGCTAGCATCCTGGTGTTGTCTATTGGAACACACGGCTGCATGGACATAGCTGCTGTGTTCCAATCTAACATGCCAGTGCGGGTCCCCAATCTCACCCTCCTTTAAAAGAGCCCTTTAAAAACCTAAAAGAGCAATAAAGGACAGGAAACACGGAAAAAACAAAAAAACGAAAGGAACTGAAAACAAATTAAATTGAAAATGAGGACAGTTTACGGGAAAATCAAGAATGCAGGCTAAGCATGTTTACCAGCAACCCCTTTACGACTTAGTTTGGATTTTTATTAAACCGTAACATGTTAATCTGTCATTTCCTTTAATCTCTTGGACCATATGGTAATTTTGGGCTCTTTCACAGATATTTTGTCATTCCGCTCGTTGTGTTTTTATTGTGTATTCGCTGACAAAATAACAACCTACTTTTACAGTCTATCTGTTCAATCTTAGGAATATGAAAAAAGACAAATCCCTCCAGCCGTTAGCATGGCTAACAGGCATTACGGATTTATTTCTGCAGCATATAAATAAGTCAATAATCTGTATATATCACAAGCAAGCAAAAAAGTGAAATGCCATCACAAATGTAGAAAAATAGAAAAGCAAATGTAGATTTAAAAGGATAAATGGGCTTATCCCACGGGGAGACATGCCATGAAAGTCCATGGGGGTCGACTGGGTAGTACGGCCAGCGCAAAGAGGATTTTCCCTGCAGGATCTGATCATTGTGGTAGTTCTGCACCATGGAGGTAAGTATGTATCTGGAGGGGGAGGGTGGGATACTTTAGGATGATGGAAAGAGCAAAGAGGATTAGGACACTTTGAACATGGATTTATCCTTTAACAATATTAAGCCCTGGTTCACACTGATGTAGTGCGGAATTCACAGCGGTTTCTGTGCAAATTCCACACCGCATCAGAATCGCACCCGTTCATGCGAACCGCTGCGGGTGTGTATGTTAAGTGAACACCCCAAAATCGGTCCACAAAACGAGGTGCGATGTGCAGAATTGGATCTCATAGGTGTGAATACACCCTGCATTCACTATATCCGGTCTCCCCGGACCCTGCATTCACTATATTTGCTCTCCCCCGGACCCTGCATTCACTATATTTGCTCTCCCCGGACCCTGCATTCACTATATTTGCTCTCCCCAGACCCTGCATTCACTATATCCGCTCTCCCCGGGACCCTGCATTCACTATATCCGGTCCCCGGACCCTGCATTCACTATATCCGGTCTCCCCGGACCCTGCATTCACTATATCCGGTCTCCCCGGACCCTGCATTCACTATATCCGCTCTCCCCGGACCCTGCATTCACTATATCCGCTCTCCCCGGACCCTGCATTCACTGTATCCGCTCTCCCCGGACCCTGCATTCACTGTATCCGCTCTCCCCGGACCCTGCATTCACTGTATCCGCTCTCCCCGGACCCGGCATTCACTATATCTGATCTCGCATAGTACACAGAACATGGAAATGCAATTATTTTAGTAAATCTAAACTCTAAATACCTTTTCTCAACAGCAGTCTTGTGACTTCTATCCGTGTCCAGCCGAGCACTGGTAAAAACTTGTAGGAGAATGCAGAACCCCAGACTTCTATCTGGACAGTGCTGATTGGCCCTGAGCTGATTACATGCACTCTCTCAAGAAAAAAAAAAAAACCTCTCTAGCAATACACACCAAACTGAACATGTGCAGAGTGACTCCATACCATATGTCTTATCAGGAGATAAGAGGAGAGCACTGGAAGAGGGGGATGATCAGAGAAGACAGGATCAAACGGCCTTTTTACAAAATGCAGAGGATTAACCACTTGGGTTCCACAATGAGTATAACAAGCATGCTTTACTGTATATACAGACTGATTGTACTGTTGTGGGTTTTGTAACACTTTGAAGATTGTAGGGGCAGTGCATTTAAACGTGGTGCGAGAAATGTGCACAAAGCATGAATTTCCCACACTGAGTTCTGCTGTGAATTGGCCCTTTAAGGCATTGTACACTTTCACATTTTCATTGGTTTAACTAGATATTAGTGTAGTTATATTCCTTGTATTGTTTTTTTTGCCTTACCTGATGGGCTCACATGTTGTGTCTGCAGTTTGCAGTGTCATGGCTGATTTGATTCCCCTATGTCCATGCATTCATTCACTTAACTTGCCCTTATTGGCTAAAGGGGCAGGAAAATTCTTGTTCTGGGTCACAACGTCCAGTCCATACCTTGCCATTCCCCTCTGTGTTGCATCACAAATGTGGAAGTGCCAATAAGATGAAACATATCTCTTCTGTTCATTGCTCTGCCTGCTTGTGTCTGTGTCAGATCTAATTACAGATTAGCGCTCACCTGCAGAACACTAGACCAAGAAACTCAGTGTAGCACCCCTCTAGTTGGCTAGTTTTTTCCAGGTAGAGGCTGAACAGCAGCCTGGGATGCGTTAGCCTGGAATGAGGCAGCCAGGTTACTCTGGGTTAGGGATGAGGGCCCTACAGGTCAGTTCCCTGATACCTCCCCCTGCTCTAGAAGCTGGAGAAGTTTCTAGAATGCAGTGGGTGGAGCTGCTACATCAGGGACTGTGGGATATGTAGTTTCGTCATGGAAAGTGTCAGTTCTTAGACTGCAGACAGAGGTCATGCTTTAACCTGTGCAGTGCCATGCCACATGGCTAGTGTTTGAGCACAAACAGAAACTTCTGACACAAGCATGTGAAGATTTACTCTACTAGACCAACAAATGACACCATGAAACTACATGTTCAATGCAGGTGAAGAACACATGGTGCAGGTCCGAAGTTTTATAATGCGTTTAAAAGACATGTGGATTTCATTCTTACCAAATGTGTTGTTAGGGAAAAACTGGTCGAGCAGTTGTTGGGTGCCATTGACAGCCTCTTGTGACGTACCCTGAACCTGTTCTGTAAACAGGAAATGCACATAGAATCACTCAAGGTACAATTTAAAAACAATGTTTTAAAATTCTTAAACCTTTATCATTTGAATTGATTATAATTTTTGCATCCGTAGTGCTAACCTCTCTCATATCCATGGCTTCCATGGCTTTGTAGTGTACAAGGCCACCCCACTGCTTAGGAAGTTCTGAATGTACACTATATTGTCCCTGCCCTCCAAATCATTGGATTTAGTTGTTCCAATCCCCTCCCTGACCCATGATCCCCTATTGCCCGGGGGCCCCATGAGTTGTCAGTCCGCCCCTGGTTACAGAGATTCAATTGGATTGGATGAATGAATAACATACACTATATTCCCAAAAGTATTGGGCCAGCCCTCCAAATCATGTGATTCAGGTGTTCCAATCACCTCCATGGCCACAGGTGTATAAATCATCCCCTAGGCATGCAGACTGCTTCTACAAACATTTGTGAAAGAATGGGTCGCTCTCAGGAGCTCAGTGACTCCAAGCGTGGTCCCGTGATAGGTGGCCACCTCTGCAATAAGTCCATCCGTGACATTTCCTGGCTACTAAATATTCCACGCTCAACTGTTAGTAGGATTATAACAAAGTGGAAGCCACTGGGAACAACAGCAACTCAGCCACCAAGTGGTAGGCCACGTCACATGACAGAGCGGGGTCAGCGCATGCTGAAGCACACAGAGTGCAGAAGTCACCAACTGTCTGCAGAGTCAATAGCTAAAGACCTCCAAATCTCGTATGGCCTTCAGATTAGCATAACAGTGCGTAGAGAGCTTCATGGAATGGGTTTCCATGGCTGAGCAGCTGCATCCAAGTCTTACATCACCAAGTGCAATGCAAAGCATCAGATGCCGTGGTGTAAAGCATGCTGCCACTGGACTCTAGAGCAGTGGAGACATGTTCTCTGGAGTAACGAATCACACTTCTCTGTCTGGCAATCTGATGGACGTATCTGGGTTTGGTGGTTGCCAGGAGAACGGTACTTGCCTGACTGCATTGTGCCAAATGTAAAGTTTGGTGGAGGGGGATTATGGTGACGGGGGGTTGTTTTTCAGGGGTTGGGCTTGGCCCCCCTTAGTTTCAGTGAAGGGAACTCTTAAGGCGTCAGCATACCAAGACGTTTTGGACAATTTCATGCTCCCAACTTTGTGGGAAGAGTTTGGAGATGGCCCCTTCCTGTTCCAACATGACTGCGCACCAGTCCACAAAGCAAGGTCCATAAAGACATGGATGAGCGAGTTTGGGGTGGAGGAACTTGACTGTCCTGCACAGAGTCCTGACCTCAACCCCATAGAACACCTTTGGGATGAATTAGAGCGGAGACTGTGAGCCAGGCCTCCTCCCCCGACATCAGTGCCTGACCTGACAAATGTGCTTCTGGAAGAATGGTCCAACCTTCCCATAGACACCCTCCTAAACCTTGTGGATGGCCTTCCCAGAAGAGTTGAAGCTGTTATAGCTGCAAAGGGTGGGGCCAACCCAATATTGAACCCTACGGACTAAGACTGGGGTGCCATTAAACTTCATGTGTGTGTAAAGGAAGGCAGCCCAGTACTGCCGGCAATATAATGTAAGTACCCCAAAGACAGCAAGAATAAATTCTGTAAGGATCCATCCATACCACTGATGTCTGTAAGTATAAGCTATTTGTTCTATTGCCTGCTGTCATCACCCTGCTGCATGTGCCATGTAATAGAATGTGTCCAGAGAGGAGCAGAAGAGCTGCAGTAGATCCGAGCAGTTGGTGCAGCAAGAAGAGAATACTTCTAGACATCAGAGGTATAGGGAGGGCAATTCTCCCATGTCATCAGATCTTCTGGATTGAACCAAAAAGGCCATTATGATAACCATGCAATTAGCTTTATCAGAAGCTTGCTGATAATAGGAATCGCAGTATTCACAGTGGGTTCCATTTATTAAAGCAGATCGCATGCGGTATTTAGATGATCAGACACATTTTCCCAAATATCACATGCAATGCTGAAAATGGCAATTCACTATCCCTTCTTGCGGTATTCACCTCAAAAATACTTGGTAAACACTGCATAGAACGGCATTAAAATAAATTCACTAAAGGAAATTAAAAAAAATAAATGAATGCGCTAAATCAGTAGTGGTCCAGACATGCCATCATTAAGGAGTGTTTGATTTTAGCTGGTTGTTAAGGAGCCGGCAGCTGCCAGCATCCTCAGCAACCAGTAAATATCATGGTTGTTGAGAACGGGCAGCCGCCACGTCTTCAACCACCACGACTGATGTGCTGTCAGTGGAGTTCCTCAATGATAGCTGAATGTAAACAAAATAATTGGCGGAATTAACAGTTTCTTTTTAAAAACTCTTCGGGTCTGGCATGGTCTTGTAGTTGGAGAGGACACTGATGTGGGGGCGGTCTCATAGTTGGAGAGAACACTGATGGAGGCGGTCTTGTAGTTGGAGAGAATACTGATGGGGTCTCGTAGTTGAAGAGAACACTGATGGGGGTCTCGTAGTTGAAGAGAACACTGATGGGGCTCTCGTAGTTGAAGAGAACACTGATGGGGGTCTCGTAGTTGGAGAGAACACTGATGGGGGTCTCGTAGTTGGAGAGAACACTGATGGGGGTCTCGTAGTTGAAGAGAACACTGATGGGGGTCTCGTAGTTGGAGAGAACACTGATGGGGGTCTCGTAGTTGGAGAGAACACTGATGGGGAGGGTCTCGTAGTTGGAGAGAACACTGATGGGGAGGGCCTCGTAGTTGGAGAGAACACTGATGGGGAGGGCCTCGTAGTTGGAGAGAACACTGATGGGGAGGGTCTCGTAGTTGGAGAGAACACTGATGGGGAGGGTCTCGTAGTTGGAGAGAACACTGATGGGGAGGGTCTCGTAGTTGGAGAGAACACTGATGGGGGGGGGGGTATTGCAGTTGGAGAAGACACTGATGGGGGGAGGGTCTCGTAGTTGGAGAGGGGGAACCCCACGCCAATATTTTGAAAATATGGCGTGGGTTCCCCCCCCCCCCAAATTCATACCAGACCTTTATCTGAGCATGTAGCCTGGCAGGTCAGGAAAGGGGGAGGGGCGAGAAAGTACCCCCCACCCCACCATACCATACCAGTCCACATCATCCCCCCCCCCCCAAACCTCAAAGCACCCCTTGTCTCCATGTAGACGAGGGCTTGTTTCCTGCAAACCTTGCCCGGTGCTCTCCAGCAGCTAGCAACAATAGACCACTCCCTCAGCAGTAGATCCCCTCCAGCAACAATAGATTCCCCACCAGCAACAATATACCACCATATAAAAACAGATCCCCTCCAGTGACAATAGATCCCCCAACAGCCAAATTCAATATGCCTCCCAACACCCCTTACCAATACATACATTAAGTGCTCCAGGTGCCAGAACTGGATTCCTGCTGAAAAACGCCCTGCTTACCGGTATTATCTTGGCATGGTGCATACGGAGAAATATCAGGGACGACTGGGCTAGCTGCAGCTACAAACACATCCGGGGAGGAGATGTTGTTATACCAGTTGTGAGACGATGTTGGCACCGAGCTTGGCAGATTTTCAGGATCGAGATACAAGTCTAGAAGGGAGCAGGAAATTCAGAGAGTGTGAGAGAATGATTTCATGTCTACGCTGCACTGGAGATGCAAATCAAAAGCCTTTCATTCTCCTATATAAAAAAAATAGAATGTGATTGGCTCCTATAAAGCACTACAAACTGTCTGAGACAATTCTATACATCTTATTGAATGACCGTTACTACTCCAAAAAGGATTGCTACATAGTAAATCTAATGGTATGGTGGTACGATTTATTCCTTGGTGTCCTTGCGATGTTGTAAATATTTGGTCATTTCACCAACTGTAAACTGATTAATCACTTTAGGATCACCCTATAGCAGTTTTACTGCTACAGAACGCCTCTCCTGTGCAAAACTCACGTGCCTATATATAAATGTAATTTTGCACTTCCGCCATAAGGGGCGCGTGCGCACAGCCAGCGGCTCGCTTCTGCTGTGAACAATCACAGCAGAAGCCGATCTGCGAGTACTGGCAAAAGGATGTTCACCAGCACCTGCCGATTGTCCAGCAGGGAAAAACAAAAAAACAGAGCTTTGCCTATGTATGTTCTGACAAGTGGGGAGTGATCGATCGTGTGTCCCTGTGAAGCTGGGAACACGATCTTTCACTTCCCATAGTACCAGCGCCACCTAGTGTACACAAATCACATTGCTACACACACTTAAATTACATTGCTGCACACACTAAACCCTTTGCCTCAGATGTTAACCCCTTCCCAATCAGTGTCATTAGTACATTTAGTTTTAATGGTTGAACTGGATGGATTTGAGTCTTTTTTTCAGCCAGACTAACTATGTAACTATGATCAGTGCATATTTTTTAGCACTGATCACTGTATTAGTGTCAGTGGCTCCCAAAAAGTGTCAGTTAGTGTGAAAATGTCTGCCGCAATATTGCAATCCAGCTATGAGTCGCTGATCAACGTCATTACTAGTATAACAAAAACAAATTCCAGTATATAAACCAGGCATCACTAAATGGCGGACCGTGATCCGGACCCAGAAACCCAGAAACATTCCTTTCCGGACCGCAGCCTCACCAAATAGTTGCCTGAATGTCCTCCCCCAACCACCCCCCCCCCCCACCCCGCCGCTGACTCGCCCACCCGCCGATGCCACTATTATCCTCAAGGAAAGGGAGTGTGGAGAGGTGCAACAGGTCTTTCCCTTTCATTGAGGTGGGTCTGTGATGAGGTGGGTCTGTGATGAGGTGGGTCTGTGATGAAGGCGGGCTGTGATGGAGCAGTCTGTGATGGGGGTAGGGGTTCTGTGATGGGGTGGTCTGTGATATAAAAGGGGGGGAGGGGAAGACGTGAGATGTGCACGGGAGGACGTGATGTGAAGGATCTGAGTCATAGCACCAACATGACACTTGGACCTCTCCCCGTGAATTTTAATTCAGTACCCCTAATACATACCGTCATTTATAGATGCTACTTTTACACCTTTGTGCAAACTAATCAATATACGCTTGTTGGGATTTTTTTTTACCAAAAAATATGTAACAAAATACATTTTGGCGTGAATTTATGCAGAATTTAGATGTTTTAAATTTTTTTTTATTGAAAATGTTTTATAGCAGAAAATTAAAAAAATATATATATTTTTTTTTAAAATTGTTGGTAATTTTTTATAGCGCAACAAGTAAAAAATGCAGAGGGGATCAAATACCACCAAAAGAAAACTATATTTGTGGGGAAAAAAGGACATAAATGTGCAGCGTTGTATGGCCACGCAATTGTCAGTTAAAGTAATGCAGCGCCGTATCGCAAAAAATGGCCTGGTCAAGAAGGGGGGGGGGGGGGGGGGTAAATCTTCTGGAGCTCAAGTGGTTCATTTTTGATGTTGCCTCCCAGGGGCTCTTTAAGTTGGCATTAATGCTGGCTTCTCTTAGCATTGTGGTTGGCTCCCCCCAGCGGTCACATGATCGGGAGTCTGTCCCATTGGCTCCCAATCAGAAGCGGTGACTGAGAGCTGCTGGAGACAATGAAGACAGTGTGCCGCTATGTGTAATAAAGATAATAACAAACTAGAAAGTTTACCTTCTTCATTGACAGAAATCTGCATCTGGTTTATGTCCTGTGAAAGATTTCTGTCCTGTAAAAAAAAAAAAAAAAAAAAAAACAAAAACACAAAGATTAAAGCAGATGTACACTTTTATCTGAACACCCAAGAACAAAAACATTACTTCATTCATTTTGAGTTATCAAATCAAACTCCCACGTCTCCATGCTTTATTTTTTTTTAATTTTTCCAATGGGGACCTGGGGCATCCCCAAGGGATTCCCTTAATTTCCAGGGATCTCCTTTTCACTTCCAGTTGTGTCTATGGGACAGAAAGTGAAGGGAAATCTCCCCAATGGGACGCAGATGGCAAAAAATAAACTGACAGCGGTTATAACCCTCCCTTACTATATCCAATATGAAAAAAGAAAAAGTTTTGCCCATAGTTCTCCTTTAAGGGCTCTTGCACAGTGTATATATGTGTGTGTGTGTATATATGTATATGTGTATGTATATATGTATATTATGTATATATATTGTATATATATATATATATATATATATATATATATATATGTTATATATATATATATAGTGTATGTGTATATATATAGTGTATGTGTGTGTATGTGTGTGTGTGTATATATATATATAGTGTATGTGTGTGTGTGTGTGTATATATATATATAGTGTATGTGTGTGTGTGTGTATGTGTGTGTGTGTGTGTGTGTGTGTGTGTGTGTGTGTGTGTATATATATATATATATGTGTGTATATATATATATATATATATATATATATATATATATATATATACTGCATGTTGAAATGCATTTTTTATGTATTACAAAATAAATGAAAATATTTTTATATATATTTTTATATAGATTCTTCAGATTTTTTTTTTATATAAAAAAAGTAATTTTAACACATTTTTAAATATATTGAATATGGCCAAAATTTTAGTATTTCAAATATATGTCAATATATTTTGGAAGAATATTTTTAAAATATATTTCAAATATATTTTTCGTCCATATGGGTATATCAATACCGTGTGCAAGAACCCTCATGATTAAGAGGAAAAAAAATATTTAACTGCAAATGTTGATCTACTAACCACAGTGAACTGGCTTCTTGGGCTATTGAATGGAGGTAGTTGAGAAGATGGACTGATACTGTCACTGCAATACAAATCTTCAGGGGTGATATTACCTGTGATGGGACAAGGGTTCCATTATTGTGTTTGTTTTATATTGTGTACATATACCAAATACAGTTAGTAAGAGGATATGGAGTATCTGCAAGTTAGGATATGCACTCACCGGCCACTTTTTTAGGTACTTTCTGCTAGCACGATGATTGGAGGACAGAGCAGATTGAACAGAAATATGACTTTGGCAGTGTGCCGCTGCTCCATCATTGTCCAATCAGCACACGAGGTGCATTTTTTTTTTACCATTCTTGCTGATCAAACTGTCCTGTTGCTGCTGCAGCACAATTTTAGATTTTTTCAGTCATTGCAGTCAAATTTAATTAATGGTAGCCTGTTTTAATTATGTAATACGGCATCAATATCCACTCACCGGCCACTTTATTAGGTACACCTTGCTAGTGCCAAGAAAAATCTCCCCCACACCATGACACCACCACCACAGCCTGAACCATTGATACAAGGCAGGATGGATCCACCACACCATGACACCACCACCACAGCCTGAACCATTGATACAAGGCAGGATGGATCCACCTCACCATGACACCACCATCACCAGCCTGAACTGTTGATACAAGGCAGGATAGATCCACCACACCATGACACCACCACCACCAGCCTGAACTGTTGATACAAGGCAGGATGGATCCACCACACCATGACACCACCAGCCTGAACCATTGATACAAGGCAGGATGGATCCACCACACCATGACACCACCACCACCAGCCTGAACCATTGATACAAGGCAGGATGGATCCACCACACCATGACACCACCACCACCAGCCTGAACCATTGATACAAGGCAGGATGGATCCACCACACCATGACACCACCACCAGCCTGAACTGTTGATACAAGGCAGGATGGATCCATGCTTTCATGTTGTTTACGCCAAATTCTGACCCTACCATCTGAATGTCGCAGCAAGCAGTCTGCCCATTCTCCTCCGACTTCTGACATCAACAAGGCATTTTCCTCCGCATAGCTGCTGCTCACTGTATATGTTCTCTTTTTTGGACCATTCTCTGTAAACCCTAGAGATGGTTGTGTGTGAAAATCCCAGTAGATCAGCAGTTTTTGAAATACGCAGACCAGCCTGTCTGGCACCAACAACCATCCCACATTCAAAGTCACTTAAATCCCCTTTCTTTCCCATTCTGATGCTCGGTTTGAACCTCAGCAAATCATCTTCACCACATCTAGATGCCTTGAGTTGCTGTAATATTAGCTGATTAGCAGTTTGTATTACCCAGCAATTGAACAGGTGTACCTAGTAAAGTGCCCAGAGGGTGTGCAATGTTTACAGAAAACCTTTAACCCCTTTGCACCGCCACCTCCCGGCCCTTTAAGAGTTTCAGAAGCCGGGAGGCGGGGTTTTAGGGTTAATTTTTGGTTATAAACTAAATTGGGTTTTTTTTTTTTTACTAAAAAGATAACTGAATACATTTTGGCCAAGATTTATGAAGAAATATTATTTATTTGCAAAAGTTTATAAGAAAAACACTTTTTTTTTTTTTTTTTTCAAAACTTTTGGACTTTTTCATTTATATAGCAAAAAAAAAATAAAAATCCCAGTGGTGAATAAATGCCACCAAAATTAACGTTTTATCTGTCTCAAAAAAAATGCTAAAAAATTAATATGGGTACAGTGTTGCATGACCGCGCAATTGTCATTCAAAGTGTGATAGCGCTGAAAGCTGAAAATTGGCCTGGGCAGGAAGGGGGTGAAAGTGTCCGGACTGGAAGTGGTTAATATCACTTTACAGTAGGGAGCAAGGCAGATTCTGGAAATGTTCCAGCTATACTTACCAGAGTCCCTTCTGATGAACTGATAGATTTTATGTGGGGTTACTAGAATCTGAGCTGTTATCCTCGACCATGCGGATCTCACTCTTTCGATTGAGAGCAGAGCGGAAATTTCTTTTCCATACCGCTGGGTTAGCGACATCTGTGCTGGGGTTATAACTACCACTGGCAGTAGCCCAGGCCTGGGGAACAAGAAAACTATTACTTAAAAATATTTCCACAAAAGTGCAAACTTTTTTCTGCAGTTACTTACTTAGCACCTCTGCCTGGCAGTACTAGGGTCGTTGGTTTGAATCCCAACCACGGCATCACTGCCTTGGTCTTTTTTCTGCCGTTATTTACTTAGCACTTCTGCCTGGCAGTACTAGGGTTGTTAGTCTGAATCCCAACCACAGCACCACCTGCCTTGGTCTCTTTTCTGCAATTACTTACTTAGCACTTCTGCCTGGCAGTACTAAGGTTGTTGGTTTGGATCCCAACCATGGCACCACCTGCCTTGGTCTTCTTTTTTTCTGCAGTTACTTACTTAGCACTTCCGCCTGGCAGTACTAGGGTCGCTGGTTTGAATACCAACCACGGCACCACCTGCACTGGTCTTTTTTCCTGCAGTTAGTTACTTAGCACTTTCGCCTGGCAGTACTAGGGTCATTAGTTTGAATCCCAACCACAGCATCACTGCCTTGGTCTTTTTCTGCCGTTATTTACTTAGCACTTCTGCCTGGCAGTACTAGGGTTGTTAGTTTGAATCCCAACCACAGCACCACCTGCCTTGGTCTCTTTTCTGCAGTTACTTACTTAGCACTTCTGCCTGGCAGTACTAAGGTTGTTGGTTGGGATCCCAACCATGGCACCACCTGCCTTGGTCTTCTTTTTTTCTGCAGTTACTTAGCACTTCTGCCTGGCAGTACTAGGGTCGCTGGTTTGAATACCAACCACGGCACCACCTGCGCTGGTCTTATATTTCTGCAGTTACTTAGCACATCTGCCTGGCAGTATTAGGGTCTTTGGTTTGGATCCCAACCACGGCACCACCTAGCTTGGTCTTTTTTCCTGCAGTTACTTACTTAGCACTTCTGCCTGGCAGTACTAGGGTCGTTGGTCTGAATCCCAACCACGGCACCACCTGCCTTGGTCTTTTTTCTGCAGTTACTTTTCTATGTTTCTAAATGGGATGTTGGGTTTATCCAAAAAAATTTACAGCAGCTTTGTAATAGGACAGTTCCAAATGAAGTAGGAAAACAGACTTCACAAGTTATTCATTGACTTCATGTATATCATTTTTTTTCATATGCTTATTATGTTCAGCACAGTGGCTGAATGGTTAGCACTTCCGCCTGGCAGCACTAGGGTTGTTGGTTCAAATCCCAACCACAGCACCACCTGCCTGGAATTTGCATGTTCTCCCTGTGCCTGCGTGGGTTTACTTCAGTTTTCTCCCACACTCCAAAGACATGCTAGTCGGTTAATTGGCTCCTGTCCAAATTTCCCCTAGTACGTGTATGTATGAATCCCAACTATGGCACCACCTGCCTGGAGTTTGTATGTTCTTCCTGTGCCTGCGCGAGTTAGGGACCTTAGATTGTACACCCCTTGAGGGTTAGGGACTGATGTGAATGTACAATATATATGTAAAGCGCTGCGTAAATTGATGGCGCTATATAAGTACCTGTATTACTTATTACCCTGTGATGACCCCAGCAGCCCCCACCCCATGTCAGGAGACAAGCTTACCTCAAATATTTTCACATCGTCCTCACTTTTGTCCTGTCTTAGGCCATGCTTCCATGGTATCTGGAACTGCCTCTCCTCATAGTTCTTCCATATCAGACCTGGATACGTATGGCTGTTGATCTGATCTTCCAGCCAAGGAATTATCCGTGGCTTCTGAAGGCTCATCTTCACAAACTATGAGGAACCTGATCATAAAAGACGTCATTTAGTAAGCCATATTGTTACATTCATATAAATATTAACCCCTTCACGCCTAAGGGTAAAACAAATCTAAATGCCTAAGCACAATTTTTGCAAAGTTGACATGTGATAGTAAAACCGTACATATCATCACAACTACTTTGTACATCCAAGTGGATTATACCACGTTTATTTCAGGACAAATTAGGCTTTCATTTGATGGTAAATGGTCATGGATAGCTCCTGATTTTTTTTTTTTATTATTATCAAAGGAAAACTGGCCAAAAATAGGAAAAAAAAAATAATTTCTTAAAATTTAGCTGTGTTTCTTGGTACAACCATGACCAGGGGCGGACTGACAACTCATGGGGCCCCCGGGCAATAGGGGATCATGGGACCCCTGTGTCTTTGCCCAAACTCAAAAAAGGTACCAGGGGCATCTCATGGGGCCCCCTACTGACCCTGGGCCCTCGGGCAGTGCCCGAGTTTCCAAATGGTCAGTCTGCCCCTGACCATAACCTACCGTCAAAGAACAACCCAAAATAAATTTTCCAGCTCTTGACGATCGCAGTGATACCATGTACGCAAGTTATTTGTTGTTTGTACCTATAGTACAGCCCAGAAATAATAATGTGCATTTTGCTTTTTTTTTTTTTTTTTAGCTAAACATATTTATATTTCTTTTTTTCATTTTTTCCCTCTATGCCAGGAGTTAGAGAGATACAATGTATCTCTCTCCTCCATTCATAGAGAAAAAACAAAAACAAGGGGGAGGGCTATTCAGTGACTAATACCAATAATAATAATAAGAATAAAAAAAATCCTTACCTTTTTGACCCTGACCTTGACACAAACACTAACCCTGGCACTGAACTAGATCAAACCTTGATCGAGGTATTTTTTTTTTTTTTAACATTTTTTTCCTCTATGCAAGGAGTTAGAGAGATACAATGTATCTCTCTCCTCCATTCCTAGAGGGAAAAAAACCAAAACAAAGGAGGCGGGCTATACAGTGACTGACTCCAATTAAAAAAAATAAATCCTGACCTTTTTGACCGTGACCTTTTCTTTTTTAATATTTATTTATCTTTTTCTTTAACAAACATTTTTTGTTCTCTATGTAAGGAGTTAGAGAGATACAATGTATCTCTCTCCTCCATTCATAGAGAAAAAAAAAACAAGGGGGGAGGGCTATACAGTGACTAATACCAATAATAATAATAATAATAATATTAAAAAAAATCCTTACCCAAACACTAACCCTGGCACTGAACTAGATCAAACCTTGATCTAGGTATTTTTTTTCTTTAATTTTTTCTGCATCTCTCTCCTCCAATCATAGAGAAAAAAACACAAAAACAAAGGAGGCGGGCTATACAGTGACTGACACCAATTAAAAAAAAAATCCTGACCTTTGACCCTGACCTTTTTGACCTTGACCTTTTGACCCAAACACTAACCCTGGCACTGAACTAGATCAAACTTGATCTAGGTCTTTTTTTCTTTTATGTTTTTGATATTTATCCTTTTTTTTTTTTTTTTTTTCTCTATGCAAGGAGTTGGAGAGATACAATGTATCTCTCTCCTCCATTCATAGAGAGAAAGAAAAAAACAAAGGGGGCGGGTTATACAGTGACTGATCACTGTGATAGCCAATCAGAGGCTATCACAGCGATCATGTGACCCGGAATCGGGAGTCCCGGGTCCCAATCGTTAAAACGGGACCCGGGGCTCTGTGACACCCCAGTCTTTGTGCTGGGAGCGCACTGTGCGGCGCGCTCCCAGCACAAAGACAAGTACGCAAATTTGCGGCCCCACGGAAAAAAGCCCAGTTCAGTGAGGCTGCATATTTGTGTGATATCGGCACGAAGTGGTTAAATATAGAACTCCATAGATGACTTCGAATGTTCCATTTCCACCACTAGTCATTAGTGCCCTCTACATTGGGAACTTAACCCCCCGGTCACATCAAGCCCGACTTTGAAATCGTGTGACTTACAATGAAGTTGTCCGATTTCAAAGTCGGGTGAGATGCTGATCTCAGGTGCGATTTGCAAGACATCTGACACAGATGTCTATGCAAATCGCACCAAAAGTAGTGCTTGTCCTACTTTAGTAATCGGTGCGGCTCCGACCGAGTCTTTGATTTGACCGCTCTAATTGCGAACAATAGGGTGCGACTTGGCATACGATTTGCAAGTCACACCCGATGTGACCGGGGTGTAAGTCTCAGAATTTATCTACAGCTTTGAACAAAGTCCAATGAGATTTCTAAACGAAAGGTCTGACTGTTCAAAAGCTTTTAATATTGATATTTGTTCAGAAAAAGACAACTGAGAACATCTACCCCTTTCAAGGTTCAAGGATCTCCCTTTTCTTCGGGGCTTAAAGTGTTACTAAACCCACCACAGTACAATCAGTCTGTAGATGCAGTAAAACATGCTTGTTATACTCACTGTGGAACCTAAGGGGTTAATCCTCTGCGTTGTGTAAAAAGGCTGTTTGATCTGGTCTTCTCTGATCCTCCCCTCCTTCTACTGTCCCCAGTCCATCTGCTGATAGTACAAAGCTCTAGGAGTCACTCTGCATATGCTCAGTTTGGTTTGTATTGCTAGAGCATTTTTTTTTCCTTTGGGAGGGTGCATGTGATCAGCACAGGGCCAATCAGTGCTGTCCATATAGAGCAGGCATGTCCAAAGTCCGGCCCGCGGGCCAATTGCGGCCCGCGTTCCGGACTGAAACGGCCCCACAGGTGAGCTACCCAAATATATAACTTACGGCCCCCGGTAGTGATTCCCTGAAAGCTACTGAGGACTCCAGCGATCTCTTGACATCATCAGCTGGCGCAGGAAGGAGAGCCCAAATCTCGCGACATCCGAGATCTCGTGAGATTTGGGCTTTCCTTCTCTGTGTGCCGGCTGATGACGTCAATTCCCGCTTCTCCTCAGTGGCGTTCGCAGAATCACTAGTGGAGGGCCGTAAGTTATATATTGGGCAGCTCATCTGTGGGGTCCGGAACGTGGGCCGAGGGATCCCAGGTGGTGCGCAGGGAATTACTACTGGGGCTACCATTTACCATTATTTACTATGTCCGCAGTCTCTGGTCATCTCCTGTACTATGTCTGCAGTCTCTGGTCATCTCCTGTACTATGTCCGCAGTCTCTGGTCATCTCCTGTACTATGTCTGCAGTCTCTGGTCATCTCCTGTACTATGTCCGCAGTCTCTGGTCATCATCCTGTACTGTGTCTGCAGTCTCCGGTCATCTCCTGTAATATGTCCGCAGTCTCTGGTCATCTCCTGTACTATGTCCGCAGTCTCTGGTCATCTCCTGTACTGTGTCTGCAGTCTCTGGTCATCTCCTGTACTGTGTCCGCAGTCTCCGGTCATCTCCTGTACTGTGTCCGCAGTCTCTGGTCATCTCCTGTACTGTGTCCGCAGTCTCTGGTCATCTCCTGTACTGTCCGCAGTCTCTGGTCATCTCCTGTACTGTCCGCAGTCTCTGGTCATCTCCTGTACTATGTCCGCAGTCTCTGGTCATCTCCTGTACTATGTCCGCAGTCTCTGGTCACCCCCTGTACTATGTCCGCAGTCTCTGGTCATCTCCTGTACTGTGTCCGCAGTCTCCGGTCATCTCCTGTAATATGGGTGTCACCCATCCTCTGGAACCCCCTGCCCCAACCCATCAGATTATCACCTACTCTCCTCTCCTTTAGGCGCACCCTGAAAACCCATCTCTTCAGGGAAGCCTACCCCACCCCCTGCTAACTTGCCGACCTCCTCCACTCTTCCTACCACTCCATCCCCCACAGCTATCTCCTCCTGTGCCACCACCCCTCCCTCCTAGATTGTAAGCTCCAAAGAGCAGGGGCCCTCGATCCCCTCATGTTTTGCATTGTATTGGTATTGTTCTGTCACATGTTCTGTCCCCCTTTGTAATGTACAGCGCTGAGAGAACTATTGGCGCTTTATAAATACTGTATAATAATAATAATAATAATAATATGTCCGCAGTCTCTGGTCATCTCCTGTACTGTGTCCGCAGTCTCTGGTCATCTCCTGTACTGTGTCCGCAGTCTCTGGTCATCTCCTGTACTGTGTCCGCAGTCTCTGGTCATCTCCTGTACTGTGTCCGCAGTCTCTGGTCATCTCCTGTACTGTGTCCGCAGTCTCTGGTCATCTCCTGTACTGTGTCCGCAGTCTCTGGTCATCTCCTGTACTATGTCCACAGTCTCTGGTCATCTCCTGTACTATGTCTGCAGTCCATTGGTTCAGAATTTTTTTTTCCTGTTCTTCGCCTCTAAAACCTAGGTGCGTCTTATGGTCAGGTGCGTCTTATGGAGCGAAAAATACGGTATCAATTTGGGCTATAATGGATTGGTGCTCAGGATCGCTTGACGTCATCAGACAGTGCAAGGAGAAACAAAGCCCAAATCTCGCGACCTCCGAGATCTCGTGAGATTTGGGCTTTCCTTCTCCCTGTGCTGGCAGAGTGATTTAACACCTGTTTAGATTTGTCATCCAAGTCACAAAATGAAAAGTATGCCGTTTTCAATAAACTTTTGCATAAAATAGTTCATTTGCATTTAATGTTAATGGTTCATCAGAATGTCGGGCAAAATGGTCGGCCCTCGCACATGTTAACTTCATCAAATCTGGCACTCTTCCAAAAAAGTTTGGACACCCCTGATATAGAGGGTCAGGGGTCAGGCAACCTCATAGGACAGTCAGAATAGAATGAAAACTCCTCCTACAAATTTTAACCAGTGCTCGGTTGGACACTGATCGTCACAGGACTGCTATATACTGATGATTACAAAAAGGTATTTAGCAGTTTATATTCACTAAAACAATTACATTTCCATGTTGTGTGTACTGTGGGAGACTAGATATAGTGAATGCAGGGTCTGGGGAGAGCCGATATAATGAATTCAGGGTCCGGGGAGACGAGATCTAGTGAATGCAGGGTCCTGGGAGACCGGATATA